AAGCGTCTGCCTTCAGCTCGGGTCATGATCCCAGGGTCCTGGAATCGAGCCCCGCATCGGGCTCCCTGCTCCGCGGGAAGCCTGTTTCTCCCTCTCCCACTCCCCCTGCTTGTGTTCCTTCTCTCGCTGTGTCTCTCTCTGTCAAATAAATATATAAAATCTTTAAAATAAATAAATAAATTAATTAATTAATTAATTTAATTAAATTAAATAAACCTCTCTACAATGGTTGTGAAACACACCCACTACATTGATAATCGGTAACATTTTAACCAGAACGGAGAACACTCTCTTGCTACCTGCTTCCACACCAAAAGTGAGGACAGCTATGATGATGACATGGCTTTGAAACAACATCATAAGTCACCATAAGCATCCTTTCAGCTCATAACAACTCAATTAACTTGCGCTCCCTTCTGAAAATGAGCAAAAATCATATTCTTTCCAATTTTCCCAGCAGGAATTTTTTATTTAACCTGAACTGTGTCTAAGTGTGTCTTAGATTCTGCCAAGGTGGTTCCCAGGTGAGAGGCACCGGAATGTCTCTAAGGAGTTCTGCTCCATCCAAGAACACTTACCAAAGGGTAATCCACTTCTCCTGCCCCTGTTCTCTCTCTGCTAACTACAACTCTCTTCCACCCAGAAAGAAGCTGAGCGCCCCTCTCCCCGCAGCACCTTCCCTGTCTTTGCTGTTCCAGACAGAGCTGTATTGGGATGGAACCTAACATGGGGCAAACATTAGGCGTGGCTGTCGCTTCTCATAGAGATGGTGTAAATTTCAACACCTCGCGCATCACTTAAACTTTCCAAAGAATTTTGCCCGTCGTAGAAGAACGTAGCACTTTAAAAAGTGGCCTCTGTCATTTGATTATAGGTCCACACTCCAGCCGGTTTAAACAGCAGACTTTAACAAACACAACCTCTTACACTTACTGCCGTTCTTGGAGAGGACAGTCTCCAGTGACAACAGAGAGCTTTGAGTGGTGGACAGGCTTTGCAGAGGCACGGACTGCTGTGCTTACAGAGGAGGTGGATGGTGCTACATCCCAAACACACATTTCCCCTCACACACTCGCTCTGGCTTCGGGTCCCCATTGTCTGCCCTTACGAAGGTTCGAGCTTTTTGACCCAAAGCAAGGGGTGGCCAGCAGGGCAGGAGACGCTTTAGGTTTCTCTAGAACGAAAAAGAAGCCCGATGCACACATCTCCTGGGGGTGAAAAGGAGTCACTAACACACTCACACACACAAGCCCCTTTAGGCGGAGGCAAGAGTGGTTGTTATGGTGGACGCAAGTTGCTCCCCAAGTATGTCCTGAATGTGGGAGGCCACAGCAGCTGCCTTCCCTCGAGACAGCCCGCAGGGCTGTTGCCAGGAGCTATAATGACTTGCTGGCCCTTGCCAGCCGTCACACTTTGCATGCCACCGGAGCTCCGGTCCGGTAGAAGGGGCCATCCAAGTCACCAGTTTCAACAAGCGCCAAATCCTGTGCCCATGCTGGGCCCGCATGGCCACCCAGAACCCTCTTGTAGGGCTCCATGGAGAGCACTTCAATGCACGCTGACCAGCATGTCCGGCTGACAGTGTCCTTGGCCGGAACAGAAGTGTGGTGGGGTCAAGAGCTAAAGGGAACCCTCAGGGACACTCCCAGGAAAGAGGGGCCCTTTGAGGGGGAGAGCAGCCTGCGTCTTTCCAACTCTTTGATTCTTAGGGCGCCCCTGCCCATGGATGGGAAATGTCCAGGGTGCTGTCTGGCCACTCTGTCCCAGGCATTAGCTTCTGTCTCTCTCACTCACTTCCTCTTCCTGCTGGCAAGGAAGGGCCCCTGCCCCGCATGCGGACAGAGGAGGAATGCCCCAATACGGTACCTCCGCTGCAGGACAGAGGGGTCCCCAGAGTGAAGGTGGGCACCTAGTGCAGGGTTCACCAAGGTGGGATCCCAGGAGCCCTCTCTTCTGGGACTTGGCTGGAACCTATCAACTGGTGGATACTGGCCTGGCCTGAGCTGGTCCCTCTGACCTATCCCCCTGGTCGCCAACCCTCCCCATCACGGCCTCCTCTTGGCTTGCTGGAAGCCTGGTCCAGCTGCAGGGAATTCTAAAAGCCAGCTCCTGATGGTGCCACTCTGCGTCTCCTGTCTGAAGGTGCACCATCAATCCCAGAAGCCCACTGCCCCCCGGGGAACCTCAGGTATTCCATCTACAGCAGGGATTTTTTTAATTATTATTGTTTATTTATTTTAATTCTTATGTTAATCCCCATACATTACATCATTAGTTTTAGATGTAGTGTTCCATGATTCATTGTTTGTGCATAACACCCAGTGCTCCATGCAGAACGTGCCCTCCTCAATACCCACCACCAGGCCAACCCATCCTCCCACCCCCCTCCCCCCCAGAACCCTCAGTTTGTTTTTCAGAGTCCATCGTCTCTCATGGTTCGTTACAGCAGGGATTTTTTAAAAATGCTCAGCTCACAGCATTCTGGGGAGAACCAGATGTCTATAAACATGCTTTGAAAAGCAGAATGCTTCTCAAATGGGTAGTGAGTTGCTCACCTTCTTGGAATTTCTGAGGTTGATTTGCTTAGTCTCTCTCCTTCCTGTCCAGTACATTTCTGCTTAGAGACTCAGCTCCCCACTGCCCAAGGTTTCTGTCTCTCTTCCCACGTGACCTCTCCAACACTTTGTCAAGTCAAGGCCTCCTGAGGACCAGGGGGCCCTACCAGGGTCCTTCCCTCTCCATGAAACCTATAGGAAACTCCTGGATTAAAGCATGTCGGGAGTTTGAACATCTCAAGGGATGAGCCTGTGAACTAGGGAGATCTCAGACCCATCCCTAGACACCCCCAGACACACAGTAGTAGCAAAGCCCTGTGCTGGGCTTCGGAAGGATACAGAAGTGAACAGGTGGTCCCCACCCTCAAAGCAATCACACCCAAATGCGGAGATGATCTCCAAATAACACGATTTAGGCCACAGGGACACGCTATCGATGGTTTGTCAAACGTGATGAGAGATGGGAAAGATGAGAAATCATCAAGGCTTCAAAAGGAAAGTAATATTGGAATTGAACCAAGACATGGGCAGGATGTTGCAGAGAGAGCTAGAGGTCAGAAGCAGCGATCAGAGTGAGCCTATGGAGCAAATGTTGGTGGAAGAAAATGGAAACGAAGCAGCCCTGAAATCAGCAAGCCCAGCCAATAGGTTCCTCGAGCTGGAATCAGTTTCCATGGTGGACAGACATCCCTCTTCTTGCCCCAAAGAGGACCAAGATGGAAAAGCTCATTTTCTTTCTGTTACCCTTGACATCACGCTGTCCAACAGGACTTTCTGTGACGAAGATTATGTCCTCTATCTGTGCTGTCCAATTGATGGCTTCTAGCCACCTGGAACTGCTAAATGCTCAAACAATGCTGGTGCAACTCAGGAACTAAATTTCTAACTAGATTTTATTTTAATTAATTAGATTTTTTTTTAAGATTTTATTTATTTATTTGAGAGAGGGAGAAAGAGAGAACACAAGTGGGGGGAGGGGCAGAGGGAGAGGGAGAAGCAGGCTTCCCACTGAGCAGGGAGCCTTACACTGGGCTTGATCCCAGGACCCTGAGATCATGACCTGAGCCGAAGGCAGATGCCTAACCGACTGAGCCACCCAGGCGCCCCAATTAATTAGATTTTAATAGCCACAGAGGGCTAGTGGGGGGCAGAGGTTTAGATACCAAAGCCCTCTTCCCCGTGCCACTTTGCCATGCTGTGATGACAGGCTGCAGTCGTATGCCCAGGCATTAGGGTAGAAAACTTCCAGAGCCACCAAGTAATGTCATTTGGGGAAGAGAAAGATACAGTCCCACCCTCAACAGATATGAGCGTGTGGGTGGATTTTTGTTTGGCCAATTTCTGTGTGGTTTTTGCTTCAACAAGAGTGGAGTCACTGGTAGAATGACTACATATCCCTTTTGGGGAGGAAAGGTACCTGACCCCCAAAGCTCCTAAGTCCCTTAAAAACCTTTCAATCAGAGGGAGGGGAGACAGAGTGGCCAGGAGTAACTATTCTAATACTACTAGTCCCTGAGCCTAGAAATTTGGTCCTCAAAACCTGGCCAGAAATCACACATTTAAAATTCTAAAAAAATGTATGTTACACCCATGTTCAGTGCAGCGTTATTCACAAAAGTCAAAAGGTGGAAGCAACCCAAGTGCCCATCTATGAAGAAATGAGTAAATGAAATATGGCGTGCACACACAATGGAATATCATTCAGCCTTTAAAAGGAAGTAAATTCTAACAAGGGCTACAACATGGATGAACCTTAAGGACACAAGCCGGTCACTAAAGACAAATGCTTTATGATTCCACTTAAAGTCAAATGCATAGACAGAAGAATGGTGGTTGCCAAGAGTTGCACAGGGGGTGGGTAGGGAGTCACGGGTTAATGAGCACCGCGCTGCAGTTTTGCAGGATGAGGAGTTCTGTGATTGGTGGCACGGCAGTGCGAATGTACTAAACACCACTAAGTGTATACATTACAGTGCTTAAGATCGTAAATATTATGTTGCTTGCCTTTGACCACAATTGACGACATGCACGTGTATACAATAAAGCAGAGGCAGAGAGGAGGAGGCAGTGCAGCCAGTCCTCCAGGAACAAACGCATCTCACCCCAAAAGGCGCCGTCCCTCCCCTCCCTCCCGGGGGCCCGTCCTGTGACACTCACCCCAGCGCGCACAATAACCTTCTTGAGCCGTGCCAGCCGCACCTCCGCGCCGGCTGAGGCGGGACGGCCAATGAGCGCGCGCCTGCACCCGGCCTCGCGCCCCCATTGGCTGCGCCCAGCGGCCCGCGGCCCCGCAGGTTCCCAAGCCGGGTTTAAAGCGGTCGGAAGCGCGCTGCTGCGCTGCCATCGGCTGCCCGCGCGCAGGTCGGCGGGGAGGGGCGGCCTGCCGAAGGGCCCACCCCGGGGCGTTCCTGAAGGGCGCCCTCGGCCGCCCCCACCGCCCCCCAAATGTACTATGCGCTTTCCCAGGCGCGCGTGAACGCGGCCCCCGCGACCATGCTGCGGCCACAGCGGCCCGGAGACGTGCAGCTCGGGGCCTCCCTGTACGAGCTGGTGGGCTACCGGCAGCCGCTCTCCTCCTCCTCCTCCTCCGCCTCCTCCTCCTCCTCCTCCTCCACGGCGGCCCCCCTCCTCCCCAAGGCGGCGCGCGAGAAGCCGGAGGCGCCCGCCGAGCCGCTGGGCGCGGGAACGGGGCCCGGCGCGCACGCGGGCGGCGGCTCCCGGGCGGACGCCAAAGAGGAGCAGCAACAGCAGCTGCGGCGCAAGATCAACAGCCGCGAGCGGAAGCGCATGCAGGACCTGAACCTGGCCATGGACGCGCTGCGCGAGGTCATCCTGCCCTACTCGGCGGCGCACTGCCAGGGCGCGCCCGGCCGCAAGCTCTCCAAGATCGCCACGCTGCTGCTCGCCCGCAACTACATCCTGCTGCTGGGCAGCTCGCTGCAGGAGCTGCGCCGCGCGCTGGGCGAGGGCGCCGGGCCCGCCGCGCCGCGCCTGCTGCTGGCCGGCCTGCCCCTGCTGGCCGCCGCGCCCGGCTCCGTGCTGCTGGCGCCTGGCGCCGTGGGGCCTCCCGACGCGCTGCGCCCCGCCAAGTACCTGTCGCTGGCGCTCGACGAGCCGCCGTGCGGCCAGTTCGCGCTCCCCGGCGGCGGCGCGGGCGGCGGCGCGGGCGGCCCAGGCCTCTGCACCTGCGCGGTCTGCAAGTTCCCGCACCTCGTCCCCGCCGGCCTGGGCCTGGCCGCCGTGCAGGCGCAGTTTTCCAAGTGAGGGCCCGCGCGGGCCCGGGGCGCGACCTAGGCCCGGCCTCCCGCCGCCCCGCTTCTCCACGCCCCCGTGCCCTGCACTCGGGGACGGCTGGCCAAGCACGGAGGGCACTTCCAACCTTCTGGCCCAGAGGAAGGGACCGTGGGGCGCCCCCGTCCCCGCCCCCACCCCGGGGAAATTAAAGTGGCGCGAGCGGATGTTCGACGGAGCGTCGGGGCCACTGGGGGCCCTGAGTCCATTCCGGCTGCTTTGGGCAGCAAGTGCGCGCTCCCAACCCCGCTCTTGCCCAGCTCCCGTCTCTCCCGGTCCCTGGAGTCGTGCGCTTCGCGGGGGTGGTGCGGATTTTAGGGCACCGCGCGGTGGCTTTGGCTTGCTCTGGGTGCGGCGGGAGGACAGTCCTAGCGCCACGGCTCAAAGAGGCGACACCTGCCCAATCAGGGGGCCAAGTGGCTGCTCTCCGAGGGCAGGGAAAGGGTTCTTTTCCTTCTCCCCAGCCAGAGGTCACAGGCTCCTTTGTTCCCACCAGCCAAGCCCTGTCAAAGGAGGCTGCCCGACCTCAGGAAGCCGAGAAAGACCAGTTAGTCCGCGCAGATGGTCCCGGGCTTAGCAGACGGACTGACCCTCGGCTGCGGCGGGACGGTTGGCGTCGCGGTACCGTGGGAGGAGGCGTTGATAACTCCAGGGTCCTTGGGTGTGCTGGGTTGGGAAGTTGGTCCGCTTTTATACCCTGGCTGTTAGAGTGCAATTTTTGAGAATCGCCTAAGCAGGGGTTTTGTTGCGGAGATTATTCGCTTTTAAATCCTGGGGTCTTCTTAAAAAGACAGTTTAGAACTTGAGATTCACCATTTTGTTTCGCCTTCCCCAAGGTAGCGTAACCAACATTTGAGCTTGCTTAAAAACAGAAACCAGCCCCCTTTGACGCAGACGGTGTTCTCGGTTTACTAAAATAGGTAACACGGCACTTCGCAGTCACCGCCAGTCTTGTCTGAAAGCACGATCGCTAATTAACTTTCTCATTAAAAGACGCAGAGGAGGACCTGAGCCCCAAACCTCCCGGCGGCTCGGCGGGTCCCCGCTGCGGTGGCGACGGCGGGGTGGCGCTTTCTGCGCCGTCCCTTTGCGCGAGGGGTCTTTGCCCAGCGCTCTGGGCAGGTCTTCCCGCAGCTTTACATTTGAAGAACTGCCTGGATGACCGGTCCTGATTTGTTACAGACGTGAACAAATTATTTCACCCAAGATTATTTTATGATCTTTCAGCAGCTTGCTTTGAAGTCTCTGCTTAAGGTTTTTGGTTGTTGGTAGTAGCCGAATTTAACTGGCATTTTATTTTATCTCTAACTTTGTTTTGTTGCTCTGTGAAGAATCAACAAAATAAAACATTTAAAGACCTAACATTTTCCTTTGATTTGTTTGTTAATAAAAATGCCCTGGTGGGGCGCCTGGGTGGCTCAGTCAGGTCAGCCTCCGACTCTTGATCTCTGCTGAGGTCTTGATCTCAGGGTCCTGAGTTCAAGCCGGCGCTGGGCTCCACGCTGTGGGCAGAGCCTACTTAAAATAAAAATAATAATAAAAAAATGTCCTGGTGCGCTGGTGGATTCGGAGCCTCAGGATGAAGGTTAATGGTTAAATATGACCAGGGTTCAAAGTTTTTAAACCTGGCTTCCTGATTTGTAAAATGATCTAATGAATAGACATCTGCATGTCAAGTTCAGGCATCAGGCAGAAATATAAGGACCGAAAGTGAGTGGGTGGATGTCAACTTCAGGAATTAGCTCTCAGCCAAGATGAGTCTCTGGACTACTTCCTCCTCTAAAAACGAGTTTAAAAATACATTGATCATAAAATTATTTTGTATGTCAATATCCTTCTCAAAACCCCACCTTTTCCATCTCAGTGGACAGAAGCTTAAACAGTGTCACACAGCTATGAGCTTCCCCCGTTCTTTACATAAGGTTGGCGTTGTCTCCTAGGAAGTCATGACCTTAGACATCATTTTAAGAGGCAAAGACAGCTCCTCTGGGTCACTGGTGATGTTACAAAGAATTTGGAATGTTGACTTGCTCATATGCAATATTTAAACATTTTGTAGTTATTAATGAAACCCAACCACTGTTTGAAGTTGATAAAGGGGTTAATAAAGGAGAAAGTGTCCCCTTTAATCTTCAGGAAATGAAAGAAAACCTGAGGTGACTTCACTTTATCCATGTTGGTTTATCTGAGGTATGGACGCACTTAGGGATGGTGAGCATTCATTTTTGGGAACATGTTGTAGGGTGCACGGAGTGGTGCACATGCTGGAAGGATGGAATTGCCTTCCCCACCATGCTGGTTAAGTGTCTATTTCCTCAAGCAGGAGGCAGGAGAGGATATGAGAGAGAGAAGCTCTTATGCACCAACCCATTTCAGGAAAGAGCTTCTCATTCTTCCCAAACTCTGCCATCAGAAAAGTCACAGGCTTTTGGAATAAGTAAATCTGAATGGGGATTTTCTGCCTATTTAATCCCCATCCTTGCTTGCCTTGCATCTTGACTCGGAACCCAAAGTAAAAATCGACAACTAAATCAAAATCAAATCAGGTCCTCCCTGAAAAAAAAAAAAATTTCTAAGAGATTAGAAATAAACCGTTCTCCCCGCAGCCCCAACTCCATCACCATATGTCACCATCATTCCAAAACACACAGGAAAGAACATGGCAGAGAAGGGGTGGGTGGTCTCCCTCCCTCTGGTATCTACTTATAAATTGAAGTAAGTACCCAGGGCTTACAGAAAAGGTAATACTGTGTGTGATTTTCTTACTTAATTAAGAAAATCATGCTTTCCAGAACTGCTAAAGATTATGAATGCATTTAACAAGAACCTGCAGAGCTGTTTTGAGTCTCATCAAAATATTTAAGTTATCCACCTGCACGTAGCATCACTTGGCCATGGCGCTAAACAAGATTAGCAGACTCGCTCCTTAAAAGATTACATCCTGAAAAATCGCATCACTGGGCATTCAAGAGTCCTGTAGGATGAAGCAGAAAAATGGTAATTATATATGGTGTCCATAACAAAAGTTAGAGCTCTCCACATAAGTCTGTGGCAAGGCAGAGCCTGGGGCAGGTGCACTGTTTAAGCCTAGACACGTATGGGGTAGACTGTGGAGCTGTTCTTTCAGATGGGCAATGTTACGTCATGTGCAACAGAGCTAGTTGATGTGCCTACCTCACTTGATTTGAGCTAGAGCGAGCTTTTTGCAGAAGGAACAAATTTAACCTGGTCTTTGAAGGGGTTGGGGAAGAAGAGAAGGAATAAGGGAGGCTCCTTGAGAAAAGTCCATCAGGCCTCAGAAGCAAGATGAGAAAGAACACGTGACTCGCTGCCCAGAAAGATCCCTGCACCCAGCCAACCACGATTGTGCAATCCCAGTGGTTGGGGTGAATGGGACCTAAGGGGTAAATACATGAGGCCCTGAGAAATTATATCGTTAGTTGTATGGGAGGCCAGGTGAGCAATCGGTAAACAGAAAGCAGATTGAATGCACCGTGGGATTTACCTAGCCCGGAGTGATGGTCTATTTACAGATATTCTCCTCTAAGGGAAGCTGATTACACCAGGTATGAAAATATAACTTTGCAAAATATATAACTTAGAAGGTGAGTGTCCCCATCAAGGAAGAGGTCCACTCCAAGCATGGAAAGTATTTCAATTTCCCAAAGGTCAGATTGTTAATTGTGCTTCATGCACGCCTCTGGTTCAAGGTCACCTGAAAGCGCATCTCCTCCAGAAGGCGTCGTCTTGCTCATGCGCTACCCCTTCCATTTCTGCACACTCAATAAATATTCAGTAAGAAGATCACCACCTCTACGGAAGTGGGCTCATGAAGCAAACGTTTGAAAAATGTCGTGTTTTTCTAAAACACAAATTCACTTTTTTCTAAAACACAAATTCACTTTTTTCAAGCAGGTTTTAGTTGTTAGGAAAAAAAATTTTTTTTTTCAAGCAAGGTCCAGCTTATTCAACCACATTTAAGGTGTGAGAAGAGTAGTAAGATATTCCTCAAGCTACACGCAGACTAGCCTCATTATTGACAGAGATGCTGCAAATGACTTCTTCAAGCACTTCCCATTCGGTCCTTTTGAACTAAGCCCAGCATAAAAGCTGAAATGCCTGATCAGAAATTAAGCCAAATTCTTTCTGTTCACATGGGATTAGCTGCTCCATCAGGGAACTTCCCCCTTTGTGTCCAGCTAATACTGAAAGGCCAGAGCTCAGGCTGAGCCCAGGACAATCAGGTCAATAGTCCACGTCCTTAAACACTACAGGCTGCTTGATGCTCAGGGGAGGACGTCACTTGGATTGAAAGTGAAGGGAGTGCATTTCTCCTTCACTCAGCCAGAAGATAGAGCACGCAGGTGGGCCACCGCTGGGGACATAGGCCACAGGTGCCAGATCCTCTCTCTAAATCCCACAGAGTGCTCATGGAGCAAGAGAACTTAGGTATTCTCTGTCCACCCTCTTCCCTGCTGAATAAGGCAACGGAGGCCTGGGAAGTTCAGGAGACATGCTCAAGGCCACACAGGTAGTCGGAGGCAGTGATGTGAGGGACCAGTATCTGCTTGGAGGAGGCAAAAGCTGCTTCCCTGGTTTATCTTGGTGGGGCTAGAATGTCCTGCAAACAGTAATCATGGCAAGAGATGAACCCATTCTTCCCGCCTCCTGGAAAATCTCCGACCTTTTGTGCCCAGCCCTCGGGCTGCCCCTATGAGCGGCATGGAAAAAAGGCAGACTCGGGACCAGTCCCCCACCAGGTGCCCAGCTGTGGATCAGCCACCTGAACTTTCTCTGGCAGCCTTGCCCCCTAGCCCCGAGGGAGGCCCACATTGGTGACAGGGAGCTCCAGAGGCAAAGCAAACCCTTTGAGAGAGCCTCTGATGGTGACATGTTTGTCATCAGGGTTTCCAAAAGCAACTAGCAGAAGGCGAGGGAGCAGACACCTGACGGGCAAGGGCAGCGGGCCGGAGGGAAAGCAGCGTCCTAGGGGCTCTCCCTTCTGTGGCGCCTTTCACCCTTTCCACGTAGACACTCGGTGTTCTGATGTTCATGGGCTCTGATTTTCTCAACAATGTGAGCATCTTTTTGCCGAGTGTTTTTCATGGATGTGAGTGAGTTTTCCAAGAGCCTGCTCAGCAGGAGTCAGGCTGGCTGCCACCAAGCCCCAGGATAGAGGACGGGCGCCCCTGACAGTGGGCCCTGCATGGAAAGCGCCAGCCAGAGGTAGGTGA